CCAATACTCTAACTTCTTCCTCACTAGTACCTTGGACTGAGGACCAAGCTCTGAACAAGTGAACCTTCGGGGGTTGTTTCACGTCTAAACCATACCAGTGTACAGTTTTCTCTGCTATTTTTCTACCTAAGATAGTTGGACCGACCACAGAGTGAACTCATCTTCCTACAACCAATTAAATTGTTCTTCTTCCCACACTTAAAATTTTATTACATCACATACAGATTTCCTTCTCCTCTACCCAGATTTAAGTATACAATTACTGGAATTGTATATACATATATACCCTTGCGCACCATGGACATGCAGTGCCTGAGGAGGCCAGCAGGGGGCACTGGATCCTTCCTGGGAACAGAGTCAAAGATTGTTGTGAGTCACTATGTGGTTGCTGGGAACTGAACCCTGGGTCCTCTACAGGCGCAGCAAGTACTCTTAACCATTGAGCCATCTCTCTAGTCACCAGTGTTTTAGATCCTATCACTAACAATTAGCTTCTTACTCTTTACAACATTGTATAAAGAAGACGAAACCACAGTATTATGTTTCTGGCCTGTCTACTGTGAATCAAATAAATGTGACATTCATCTGTGTTGTGTCTATCAGTGGCTTTAAATAAGCTGCACTCAATCTTTGGTTATGTGAATGCACTGAAAACTATTTATCCTTAATGCACTCAGGGCAGTGGGGTTGTTTTCAGTTTCTCCTTTTGCATTTTGATGAACAGATTGATAGAAAGTTTCTTGTTCTTGTCTTTTCTTGTCCTCTGCATTCATCTCTCTTGTGTCAGGAACTGCCAGGTATGCAAATTCTGATGGACCCCCTGGATGCTGTGTAGCTATGTAGCCACCAGAGGAGTAAGATGCCGGAGCATTACTAGTAAGCCATGGCCACGTGGTGATACACAGATTAGTAAAAATGGGTTAATTTGATTGTGAGAGCTAGTTAGTAATATGCCTGAGCCATTGGCCAAACAATTATAATTAAGCCTCAGAGTGATTATTTTATAAGTGGCTGTGGGACTGGGTGGAACACATAAAAGCTTTCCACCACAACATTTAGAGAGGTCAGTGTTTGGAATTTTATCTATTTTAATGGGCATTTTTTTCATGAGCTCCATGAAAGTCGGGCATGTTTTCATGTGCTTACTGGCCATTTCGAATTCTTCATTGTTAAGCAACTGTTCAAGTAGCTCACCATTTGTATCTACCCAGTCTTCAGTTAAGACAGGAGATAGGCACACAGTGGCATTATTCTGTTAGCGTTTGACAAGAAAAGCAAAAGTTGGTGTGTGTGTGTGTGTGTGTGTGTGTGTGTGTGTGTGTGTGTGCAATATGGAGCTACAAGGACAGACAAACCCGGGCTGCCTTTTGTCTATTCAACTTCAGCGATGCAGAAGACCCAAATGAAAGGCCAAGAACCTTTACACTAGCACTCCCTACCCCTGTGAGGACTTGGTGACACTGAGGAGGAATACCTGGTGTACACAAGAGGATCTCAATTCCAGGGGGGAGAGAAGGGCTTCACCAAGAACCACACCGTACCTTTGCCTTCCAAATATCACACAACCGTCTCTCCTGGTCTCCCTGACCTTAGAGCTTACCAGAAAGGAGTTCAAAGAGCACAGGTACCATATGGCTAGGCTGGCACCAAAGGAGGCAGCTGTGGCCCTGACTGACTGAGGAGATACAGAGTTTTGAGGATGACCAAACAAATTCTTAGTACTGGAACGTTCATTTGTAAGTGGCAAATCACTTAGGAATAGTTTCACTCTTTTGCTAATGTTGCTTAGATGCCATTTATTTATTTATTTCTCTGTGTCTTCAAGCAAAAAAAAAAAAAGCATTCATTGCAGGAGGCTGAAATTGGAAGGGGCCCTTTGCCATCTCTTGTGACTTTAAACCTAATTCCAAAGAAAGAGGCTCTTGTAGGCATGTGTATCTTGAAGCACAGAGGCTGATGCATGCCAGAGTGGTATGTCTGTGCAGATTGTCACCATCACAAGACCCCAGTTTATAGCTTGCTCTCTGAAGCCTGACCATCCTGGGCAGCAAGATGAAAGTCTGATACTGAAGCATAATGGGCAGGTCCTGCTCTCCTGCATCTGTTCACCCATAGATTCTGGTTCTGAGTATCTAGACTCACTTCTCCAGTGCTGGAGTTACCCGCAATGCAAGTCTGTCTGTCTCCTTTTCTCCAGTTTAAAAGGCACAAAGAGTAGGCTGGGGTTATTTTGGACAGTGTAAGTTTCATTTAAATGTTAGGCATGACATCTAAATAACAGAATCATATTCTCTGACTCACACTCATCTTGTGGTCACTTGGGGCCCTTAGATCTTTTTTTTGATCATTTGCTCATTTTTTGCTTTTCAATTTTTATCTCTTTAGATGATGGGCTAGTACCTTGTATGGACTGAATATGGGCAGGACTAACTGATACAAGATAAACTGCATTGGATCTGCATTAAAAAGATGTCCCCTACCCTCATTTCCTTTCTCTGGAAAAAGGAATTCATTTCGTTTCTGTCCAGTTAGTCTTCTGGACAGAATATCATCTTTCAATATTGTTTACTTGTCTGTCCCATAGCTAGGCTCCCTTCACTGTCCCACATCTTTTGAGTTCTTAGTATTATGCCCTGTTCTGTGACTTGGGATACCCATTTTCCTTCAGACAGTAGAACAAGGCTCCTGTTTTCCTAAGCTACTGCCTGAGCTCTGGCATCCGGTGGACCATGCACGGCTGGGATGAAGCTAATGGAAACTAACACAACCACAGTGAATTTTACCTAAAGCAAACCATTTCAACACTTACAGCTTCCCCATTACTGTAACGTGTTGCATACGCACGCACGTAAGGATGTGAGCGTCAACAGCTGAAACGGAAACCCTAACAGCTGGGTTTCTAAGCCCCTCCTCCCAGACAGTGCTCCTCTATTACCTGAGCATCCCGACACCTGGGATCCAGCACAGTGCCCGACATGGCAAGATGTGTGTCTCAGTTATTCCTGGGAGGAGCTAAACAGAGCGGGATGTGAAAGCAGCTGTAGGTAGGTGGCAGTATGGTACGTGGATTCAACACCCTGTGTTAAGATGTTGCTGTTTAGCAACGCTGAACCCTTATCTTTGTGGATGGGGCACATCACCAAATGTTTCACAGCCTCAACTTTGTCACCTGTAAAGTGGAAAATAACTAGCTCACTGGCACTGTGAGGATTAAGTAAAAGTAATCTGTGAGAAATGTTTAATATGCGATTCTCCATTGTAGCTATTACTAGATCACAAACTCGGATAGCTATGATGGCTGAGTAGATCTGAAGACATAAGAAAAACGGAATGAATATTACATTAGCGGAAAAGTCACTGATACAGTAACTGCAGATTTCAAAATAGTCATTTCTCTGATACCACTGAAGTATGAGGTAGGAGTGGGGGAGAGTTGGAAAGGTTATCCTTTTCCATCTCTTTTAAACAAAACCTGAAACCTGGGTTCATGTATCTTGACGGGCCTGCAGGGCGGATAATTTTGGCAGAGAGGAACTCAACTCTATAATTGTGTTGACTGCAATAAAATTGGCGGTGGCAGCAATCAATCTCTATCAAACATGGCTGGGTAGACCAGTGTTTGTGCTGGTACTTCTGGAGAACCGGTGACTTATTGTCTGCACTCTAGTGGAGGTCCAGTCCTAGCTTTCCTAGGACTTCCAGGTCTTTCTTCAAGGGCAAAAGGGTCATAGCTCCTAGAGGAAGGATCCACCCGCGCTGCCTAGACCATTTCCCTAGAAAAGGGCAGGATACCAGGGCGTCCAGAGGACTTCCTTCAGACTGGAGGAGGGGGCTTCCAGACGGTTAACCATTCCCACTAACTGTCCTGTGGTCCTACTGTGTGTCGGAGAGCCAAGGATCAAGTTCCGCTACGGTTGGGCATCTACAGTTCCAGAGGCAATAGGTGCCTCCCTTCCCAAACTGCCCGTGGCCTACCCGCAGCGAGCGCTCCTCTCGCACCCCAGCTCCAGGCTCTTTACCGGGCTCAGGATCCCGGGTGTAGGCTGACCGTCCCCAGGAGCTCCGGTCCTGCAGCCTGGGGGGCACCGGGTGTGCACCTGGGCGGGGCCGCATCCCCGGCGGCGCCCCCCGCCCCCGCCGTCTGGCCGCGAGCCGGGTCCCCGCCGCAGAGCCGGGGGAGGAGCGGCCGAGGCTGAGTTGAGACAGACCCGGCCTCGGCGCGGTGGCGGTGGCAGTGGCGGGACCGGGTCCGAAGCCCGACAGCACCGGCTCTCTCCCTCCCTCCCTCCCATCAGTCGGCAGGGATCCCCAGCGAGCCGGGGAGGAGCCGCGGCGGCCGCCAGACAGACTGCAAGTCCTGAGAAGGCGAAAGGGGGGCGGGGAGCTCCGGGAGCCCGATGGCAGGTCCCTCTTAAAGAGCCACGCCGCGCCGTGTCGCGCCACCCGGAGCGCTGCCCCTCCCCCGCAGCCCGCAGGGCCGGTGGCTGAACTGCACGGTGGGCGGTCCGGCTCGCCCGTGTAGGGGCTGCTGCAGGTGAGTGCCGCCCGCCGCGGTCCCTGCGTATGGCCGGAGTTCACCTCTGAGCCGGGCCGGGAGGAGGGGGCGGGCAAGGGACCGGGATGCCCGCCAGCCTGCGCCGGCGACCGCTGCCCTCCCAGTCCTGGCGTCCCCGAGACCCGCACACCAGGTCTGCGAGGCTGTGTCGCGGGTGGGCGCGCAGGGCGGCCGGGGACTGCTCGGAGTGCTCGTCTGGCAGAGTCTTGTCGACCTGGACCCGGCGTTCTAGAGTGTCCCGCTGAAGCTGCTTCATCCCGCAGTGCCCAGCGGCCCGGGTGGGCGCCTGGGTGCCTGTCCCAAGCGGCGACGCTCCTAGGCCTGTGTGCGAGCTGCTGTAGTCGTGGGGTACTGGGGGACTGGAGGTCAGCAACGAGAAGGCGGCGTGGGAGTCTCCGCCTGCACCTTGCGCCCCGGCTCCAGGCTTTCCAGCCCTCAGACGGTCTCCCCGGGTCCCCCCACCCCCCTCCCGCGCGCTTTGACGTCGGCCGCGGGCTGCCCGGGGCTCCTGGCATTGGCTGGCAAAGTCGATTGTCTGGGGCGGCTGCTGTTACACTTAGGCTGGGTCTCCGGGCCGGGAGGAAGCAGGCGTGTGTTGAATTTCTCTTTGACCCTCACGGTGGAATAAACAGGAAGCGAAGAGCACCCAGCCGGGCCCTGCACTTGTCTTTGTTGTGGGCTCTGCGCTCCACAAACTGGAGGAGGTTTCCCGGGACCCCTGCCTGGCGTGCCGTCTGGGTACGGCTGGGGGCGCGCCCTGTGAGTACGCTGCTGGGAGACAGTGGGCTCTCTGTGCATTAACTCGCTGTGGTGCCACAGAGAGCATTTGCTTGCTTGCTTGTAAACTTTTTTTCTTTTTTTTTTAAATTGGAGGGTTCTCGGTGTGCAGAGGTTTCAGGACCACAGGGGCGCATGGTGGGTGGGCGTCATTCCAAGAGCCCCCACCAGGCTCGTGTGTTCCGGGTTACCTGGAGAGGCATCCTCCAGTCAGGACAGTGAGAAACTCGTTAAAACAAGCGGGGCTTCCTAGTTTCTGCCCCAGCACAGGAGTGACAGCGACTGTCAGTGGCCACATCAGTCAATGTAATGTTTTGTTATTCCACAAAGACTCTTAATGAGCTAGAATGGATTATTTTGCTTTGACTTTTCTTTTTCCTCTGAGTCTGTTTCCTTTGTTTTTCTCTTCTTCTTCTTCTTCTTCTTCTTCTTCTTCTTCTTCTTCTTCTTCTTCTTCTTCTTCTTCTTCTTCTTCTTCTTCTTCTTCTTCTTCTTCTTCTCCTTTTCCTCCTCCTCCTCCTCCTCCTCCTCCTCCTCCTCCTCCTCCTCCTTCTTCCGTTTTTAATTTTACCACCTTGCCATCCCTGAACTCCTCACTAAAAGTTAGAGTTAATTATGGCTATGATGTTTCCTGGTGACCTCCTGTGTGTTAGGTATTGAGTTGTGAAGTGAGATGTTGATCTCAAGAACCATGTTTGAGGTAGAGCTGGGTAGAGATGGTGAGTCCTACAGGATCTTCAAAGTAGAGTGCTGGAGCGGAGAGGCAGCCTTCAGTGACACCTGGCTTTCCTAGAATGCTGATGCCCCGGCTTTCAGTCCTACCAACAGGTACGAAAAATAGGGGCCTATGCGAGATCAGCACTGCCAGGCTCACTTACAGTGGCCCTTTCCATTAGTTTGGGTGTCCCCAAACCTTGTCCTCCTGTCTCTAGCTAACCTGGGCCTTCAGGACTGTGTGCTGGATTTCACGGAAGGTTCTATGTAGTATACAACACACCATTTTGTAATGTCTTAGAGTTTAAATTCAGCTTTGGCATTGTGAATCTGCCTTCGCACATTCCTTTAGGAATATAAAACAATATCAAAGGAACAATACCAAGTTTGAATCATCACATGGACAGTGAATGGGTCTGAATATTACCCATGTATATTTATTGAGTTTTAATATTTGTTTTCTGTTGTCCCTGAGAAAGCTTAATTCTTAAAGAGATAACTTTGCTGTTAATGAAGAACACAGGTTAAGAATTAGAACTGGGACTATAAATGTCAGTAAGGGATTTACTGTAATGGAGTTGTAGCCACCTTTCCCTTGTTTAAACAACAATAACAACAACAACAACAAACCCTCTAGTTTCTTAGCATTCCACTCTTCCCCCTGGAAGAGTTCACTGCCCATGTCTATGGTTCCAGTTCCTGTAGGCTTGTATTTGTGTTGGAGATGCGTCTTGCCAGCAGGTATTTAAGGATATCTTTGAATCCTTTTGGATGCTTGCTCTTCATGACCATGACCCTGCAGTGGAACCCAGCCAGTGCCAGGTGCCTCTTAAGGAATTCTGTGGTAATCAGTTGGCACGGTGTTTGAAGTTCCCTGCCCTTCTCTGTTAGAATATAGACATCCATAGGCAAATATTTATTTTGCCCCAACTGCTAACTGTTCTAAGAATAGTTTTCTTGCCTGGCATGCTGAGAGCAAGGACCCGCCTGCAGAGGTGTTTACAGCTTGGGTCTGTGCTGGAGTCTTGCTTGACTTAGCAGCCTGGCAGAGCAACCCTGTAGCTCATGGGTCACTGTCTGATTTTTATTCTGGTTGCTGGAGGGGTGGATTTCTCCACTGACAGGGAAGCAAAGAGGAAAGGATGACTTTTGCTGCCCATGGGTATTTTCTGGCTAGCCGGCAGCTAAGGACCCCCAAACTCTGGATCCCTGTGCATGTACCTTACATTGTTAGTCACTTTATAGTGGTATGTAGGATTGTCTATGTCATCATATAAAGCCAAAGCCCATAGTATTCTGGGTAGGAATACCCCAAAGTGTGTAGACTGGTTAAATCTTTATAGAAACTCTGGTCATTTGTCCTCTTTTCTTTCTGCTGAATCTGGACTTGTGGAGTCTCTAGCATATGTATCTCCTTTGGGGTCAGAGTTGACAGCAAAAACTCCAAAAGTAACAGCAGTGAAAGGACAGTAACATCTTAACCTGGAAAATGTTGGGGTTATTCAACATGATTCATAGGGACACATGTAGTAAATGTTAGTGGTGGCAAACGGCAGTTCCCATGTTTCCCTCCCCTTTCTTCATCCCTCTGTTTCTCCTTGGCTTGCTTGTTCCCTGCTTCCTCAGTCCTTGCCTTTTGTAGAAAAATCTCTCAGAAGCCATTATTTCTCTGATGTCAAAGTTACTCTCTGCCAGCACGGTCTGTGTTAGATGGGAATTACATCTTGATCTATATTATGAGAAGTGAATGAATTTTAAAATGAGAAAATAGGAGCCTGAAGAGATGGCTCAGTCAGTCAGATGCTTGGCGTGTAGGTACCAGGACCTGAGTTAAGATCCCTGGTGCCCATGTAGAAGTCAGTGCAGAAGGTTCAGAGATGGGCAGATACTTGGAACTTGCTAGCCAGCCAGCCTAGATGAGTTGGTGAGCTCCAAGTTCAGTGAGAGACCCTGACTCAAAAAAAAAACCATAGTGGAGAGAGATTGAAAAAGACCAGATATTGACCTCTGGCCTGCACACACACACACACACACACACACACACACACACACACACACACACACAAACACAAACACATACATATGCATGCCCCCACTCCACACAAATAGGAATAGGAATTCTGCATACTATTTGAATTTTATGACCCCCAACGCTTGCCACTTTTGAGAGAGAGAGAGAGAGAGAGAGAGAGAGAGAGTGTGTATACATTTATGTCATTATCTTCATATTTGGCAACAAAAGGAAATAAGCAAGAACCTGTACTATTCATGTCTGTAGATTGTATTGAGTTCAAATTTCCAATTAATATTGGTTTTCCTCTGTTGCAGGAAGACTTGAGAATAATGTCTGTTTTGATACATCCATTTGATTTAAATATGGATTACTTTTCTTTGAATTTCTACTAAAAATGGTACTTTGGCCTTTTTTAAGTTGTTTTCGTGAGGACTCTTCTCTCCACCAAGCCTGTTTTCCAGCTAGGTCTTGGAAATTATGAAGAATGTAGCTGCAATTTCTCCCTTGATTGGCAGTCGAGAGCTTTCCTGGACAAAAATAAGGCTCCACTGTGCCAAATGGTTGACTTTTCTAGAATAAAAACTCTAAAGAGTATGCAGAAAGTCTTCTGGTTAATATATTGGCATTCCCAGAACCCACTAAAACCCTGACAGACTGCCAGCATTCACTTAATGAGGACGCAGAATGTCTGGCTCAAATTCCCATGAGTAGAACGAGGTGGGGCTGGATGTCCACACTCTTTATTAATTTTTAATGACTGTAGTTTTGTTTTGCAGATTTTACGTCAGTACCCCGGGCACCCTCACAGCTGACCCCACGTTGCCCCCCTCCCCCCCCTCCCCGTTCATAAAATAGTGTGGTAGTGAAGATCACTAACGGTCACTTCCGACTGCGTGGGTCCTTTCATGGCCGGTTTTCTTCCTTGTTCTTCCTTAGTGTTTGAAGAAGGAAGAGAGGGATGGAACAGAAGAGATGACAACTTTCTTTTCTTTTTGAGACACTTTGTTGTCTGTTGGGGAAAGAGAAGCATTTATGTAACTTTTAAGTTTGTCAGACAGTTTATATGACAGTGCAAGTTGGTGCTTGCCAAGCTCCAGACAGATTGTTAATGTTACATGACAGGGGTAAGTAAATCACTGCTGTCTGCGGCTCGGTTGCACTGCAAACCCACTGTGCAGCCCAGCTGGCTGTGTGCTGCTCCTGGTGCCCGGTGGAAGTACAGCTGCACGGACGGCCCTGCCCGCTGCCCGGAGCGCTGGAACTTGGTTTAGAGGTGAAAAGGATGTCTCTCGCTGTACAGCAGAATCCACTTAACAACTCTCGGTCCTCCCTTATTTATTTATTTATTTATTTATTTATTTATATTAGGCCTCCCATCCCTGGCTCCATCTTGGTCTTCTGGTCTAGACCCACGTTCTTCTTCCCAGGAAAGGGAAACATTTGTAGCTGCTCAGAGCCTGAGGTATTCCACAGCCAAGTTCCAAGCTGTTTACAGTTGTGTTCTTTATGCAGGTACAGAGACCAAGAACAAACCGTCTGCTGTAGATGGGCGTACGCTGTCTGGAAGGGGGTTGGGTGGCACTCCTTGGGCATAATGTACTTTTATCATGGCAGTTTGGCGACTCAGCTGGCAGAGTGACAGGTGTAATGAACTTAATGGTCTTGCTCTAGTTGTTAGTGGACACACTGCTCATATTACAAAGCTACCTCATATGTGGAGGCCCAGCCAAGTGATTTGCAATTCTCCTTGCAGATAGGACTCCAGGCCTGCCTTATTAAGTGACATTAAGGTCAGGAATTGGGTGGGTGTGAGAAACATGTGTGTGCCCTTAGCCACCCCTGCTTCTAACTGCCCCGGAGCGTCTCTTCAAAGCCTTACTTTGAAGAGGAAACAACCCATCCCATCCCCTCTGGCTGGCCCTTCCTTCTCACAGGGTGTGGTGGGGACCCTTTGGTGTGTGTGGACTTCCTGCCCTTGGGGTTTGCAGAATGCAGGCTTCCTGCCAAATTGTGCTGGTTCCTGTGTGCTCGCGGGCTACTTCTCTCCAGATATAAGGCAGTTGCTGGAGACGCACAGCTAGCGCTGTTCCTATTGCCTGTGGCCTCAGGGACTGGCAACCTGGGCACTGAGTTGGGGTGGCACTTTCCTGTAGCAGAATCTCATTGTCTAAGGCTCCTTGAACCTGGTCAGACCCGCACAGACTCTGGCACTCAGTCAGAGCACGGTGACAGGAATTCCACTTACAGGCATGTG